TAAAATCCAACCCATAACCACATATCTGTGGAGAGGGTCTGGGTTTGGGTCTGGTGTGGGTTGATTGGTGATGGCGTTCAATTGGTGACCCTCTCCACAGATAAATTACAGACACCATCCAGTAGCCAAACCATGGTGGCACCTCCGGATGCTGCACCCCCCTGCAATCCTACACAGATCTGGCTGGCACAGGGCACAAAACCACAGCTCGCCCCTATACACGAAGCCAAGCCAGAGCACAACTAAGTGCAGTACAACCATCTTCTCAGAAAAACTCTTCACAAAGTTCAAGAGGTCAAGACACGAAGGCTTTAGCAACTAATCCACACCTAATGACCCACCTAAGTGGTACTCAGAATATCACTCAAGAATCACTCAAGATATCCCTCAAGTAATTAAGGAACAAAAGAAGAAAAGGCACACTAGCCTGGGAACTTCCTCTCTGCCCAGAACATTGGAGGCTATACACCACACCCCCTCAACAGTATTTATAGGAACTCAAACACTGAGATCCTGCTCTGTTCCAGTAACAAGAAGCCGAAAGCACCAGCCTGAAGATGACGAGTGAGACCTCGTCGAAACGTCGCCTAGACACCCCAACTTTTACACGGGAAGACACCCGAGGACACCAAAACCTGCATTCCTGTACCCGTGAAAATCTACGAAAGCATATATATATATATATATATAATCTGAGCCAGGCACTTGAGTGCATTTCCCTGTCCACTCCAACACTTCCTTGTTCACCTAGTTTTTCTTTTGTTTAATTACTCGAGCGAATGTCAGCAGGTGAGCTTCATCCCTTTACCAGCAAGTTCCCAGGCTGCTGCTTGCTAATGACCTCCTCTCTTCTCAACTCATTTCCTTGGAAGTAAGCCCAACATAAAACGCATGAAATGTGCATAAGAAATCTTGCACGTTTCAGTAGGGTTTGCATAGGAGAAATCCCCAGTAGATGGGAGTGACTTCTGTTTGTTTGTTTCTTTTTTAAAAAATATCCCCCTCCCGTCACCAGGATCCTGTCGCTTTGCTCACAACATGTCAGAGCACAGCTTCTAACTTGCTCTTTTGTTAGGGGCCAGAGCTGGGGGAGGGACAACCTGAATTTTTAAAACCCCGGCAGAGGCGCCCAGTTTCCCAGGATGTGCCTGTTCTATCACCAAGACACCTGCATCCACTTTAACCTTCCCTTCTGTCTGTGTCTCGCTTTTGCCACCAGCCAATTAGTGAACTCTGGAGGACATTCTGGGTCAAGCTGCAGCAAGTGCCTCGAATCCTCATTAACACTAATTAGCGCTCAGTAGGTTAATTGGTGGTGAAGCTCATCTTTTTTTAATTACTCCAACGAATAAGCCAGTGGGACCCTGTGGTCAGCTTTGAATTATTCTGTTTGTTTTGATGCTTGTCAACTGAATGTGTAAAGACAGATGTTCTTTGCCCAGGCTTAGGGACTGCTTTCCTTTGCGGGAGGGGCTGAAAAGACAAAGGATCCTTTTTACCGTTGTTAATTGGGGCTTAGCTGATGCCCTAGAACAATTATTCCCAACCCACCCCCTTTTCCCAGGTGGAAAAGAATGCATCATTTGGGGGCAGCGAACAGGACATACGCATCACTAGCAGAATTGATAACTTTAACATTTCCCATACTCGCTAGGAGCCCCATCACATTTCGCAAGCATTTGTAACAGTGACGGTGAGGTTTAAATTCTAAACAATGAACTGCAGAACCTGAAAATCATTGGCTTAGTTCGCACATAACACAAAGCCAAATCATGGCTTAGTGCAAGCACATGAACTCCCAGAACAGAAACTGAAGCTGCTGCATTGCTGTGAGCTGCAATAGTTTAGCTTAGTATGTTATCCAAACCTGGGGTTGTGGTTTATCTCCTCCAGATGAACCACAAGGTGCAAATGAAGAACAGACCGTGGGTGCAGCTGGTTTTTGGTCTGGAGCAAGACAAACCATGTACATGGGCTCGAACGACACAAGTTAAGCCATGTACAGTGGTACCTCGGGCTACATACGGTTCAGGTTACATACGCTTCAGGTTACAGACTCCGCTAACCCAGAAATAGTACCTTGGGTTAAGAACTTTGCTTCAGGATGAGAACAGAAATCTTGCAGCGGCAGCAGGAGGCCCCATTAGCTAAAGTGGTGCTTCAGGTTAAGAACAGTTTCAGGTTAAGTACGGACCTCTGGAACGAATTAAGTACTTAACCTGAGGTACCACTGTATTAGCTCCCAGAAGCCTCAGGACCAGAGAAGCAGCCAAGAGGCCATGATCTCTCCATGCTTGTTCTGAGCCATGATTTGGCTTCACATTTACATGCAAACGGGATCAGTAACTTATAGATACTGGCCCAAGACAAAGGACCAAATCCAGATAAGCTTGGAACTAATAGAGCTGGTCCCCAGCAAAGAGAACTCCAAAGGGCTCTGAGTGATGTTTCATTCTTCCCTGCTGTCTCGCAGCATCTGTCCTGTTGCCCAGTTCAAGATTTGTAACAACAACAAAAACCCCATCAGGATATCTGTAGTTCTGTGTGGCAATTCCATTTCTTCCATAGGCAACAGTTCTTGGAGAAGACCCTTGAAGGTTTGTGCCAGAGGGAAAGGTAGTTTGAAAGAACGATCACTGTCACTTTCTTCTCTGGTCCAATATGTTACTCTTTGTATTATTCTGAAAACCTAGTTTGACTGGAGGTGAGAGTAGAACAAAAGAATTGTGTACATACAATGTAGGGGTAGCCGACATACAGTAGTGGCCTCCACATGCTGTTGGACTACAACTCCCATCATCCCTTATCTCCAGGGAGGCTCGCCTGGCACCATCATTATATATCTTTAGGTGCAAGGCAAAAACTTTCCTCTATAATCATTCCTTTGGCCTTTTAACTATCTGGCCTTTTGTTGTTGCTGTTGTTGTTGTTGTGGTTGGTTGGTTTGTTGCACAAGAAAATTTTTCATAAAAACTAATTTTAAGAACCACCTGGCGTTTTAGAAGTGAGTGGGATGGTTTGTATTTCTTTTTCCTCTTGGTTTCCATATGTCTCGGGGCCAAGGGTTGTCTGTCTCTTTGGTTGGTTCTAAATTGCTTTGGGTTGCCCTGGGCAAGATAAAGCGACTTAATTTAATAAATAACTAAATGAGCATATACAAATCCTGTGCAAATTAGTATCTCTCTCTCTATCTTTGCAATGGATTTCCTGTTGCTGTTGTTTTTACTATTCTCCTCTATTGTCACCTCCAGCCTTACAAACAGCTGGCTGTCTTCAATCGGTGGTGGTGATAATAATAATAATAATAATAATAATAATAATAATAATAATAATAATAATAATGATGATGATGATGAAGAATTTTATTTATACCCTGCCCTCCCCAGCCAAGACCGGGCTCAGGGCAGCTAACATCCGATATAAAAACAAATTGATTGAAATACAACTTAAAAACAAGATTAAAATACAACATTAAAATATTAAAATACAGGCTCATTTCAATGGAAACTCAAATCAAAAACTTTTTGGGGGATGAAAATGTCATGATGATGGAGGTCATGTCATCATTAGAGCACTGATGATTAAAATGCATGGATGAGTCTTTGTGGAGAGAACCGAGATTACACCCAGGAGTTCTGCTGTGGGTTCTTCTTGTTGTGTGGCCTTCCACACCCTGGTGCCCTCCTGACATTGCGGACTGCAATTTCCACCAGCCCAGCTAGCATGGCCAACAGTCGGGGATGATGGAAGTTGCAGCCCACAACACATCACTGAGCAGCACTATGTTGGCTACCCTTCCATGTATTGACTTTATTAGGCCTTTATTAGTGATTGTCCACAGGCTGCACTGTCCCCAAGGTGCTGCACTCACCACTGCCCACACTGAAGTAAGAAGAGATGGAGACGCTGGCATAATCCACCAACTCACAGGAGCCATGTTGGTGCCAGGATCTCCCACAACACTTTTCTTCCTGCTCACGTTGTAACATGTTCTGCAGACAAAGGAGAAGCATACAGGCAAACCTTTCTGGACTTAGGTTTTTTCCCCCTCACGTGTCGGGATGGAGGGGAGCCGTTACAGTTTGCATAATATCCTGAGGAGGAATTAGTATGTTTGTGTTGGCTTATCTGCTGGAAGCCTAAATGCCATGGATTTTGAGCAGTGCAATAGTCCTGGCATGCGTTGCAGAAAATAGTTCTTTCCTATGTTTACTGTTCTTTTCGGGAGCAAAGGAAATTATAGAGTTTACTCTCCTAGTGGAATGAAGATCCTTGGCGAGTTTATCTACTGCTTGCAGTTCTGGGGTTCCCGCCTTGTGAAGTTTTATAAAATTGCACTTGGCTTTTCTTGGCTGCGACTTGGTGGTTGAGCATCTGCTTCGCAAGCAGACGGTCTCAGGTTCAGTCTTCAGCCCTCCAGGCAAGGCTGGGAGGTAGCGCGGTCTCAAACCCTCGACAGCCACTCCAAATTGGTGCAGACAATACTGAGCTCAATGGACCAGTGATTTGACTTTTTAAAAAAATCTGGAAATATTCTATTCTGAATAGAACAGTTTAACATATCCTACATAACATCATGTTGCCCTTTCTCTCTGCAGCAGTTGTGACCCTAAGGAAGTTTGCATGCCGTGCAATGAAAGTTTATAGAACCTTCCAACTAACTTGGAATATGTATGTTCTCTAAACAGTGGTGGCTCACTGCCATGAGCATATTAGAATTGGCTGGTTGCTTGTTTACACTTGAAAGGTATCAGGAGAAGCTATATAGATCCTGCACCATCACTGTTGTGTCCACATCTTGTTTTCTTCTTTGATTTTAAAAGAGACCATTTAATGGTTCATGTCGTGAGCGTCTCACTGAGTTTGTTCTTTCTTCTTGCAGCATGAACGAACGGGACCACTTGTTGAAAAGGCTTGGCAGAAAAACCCCTCCAAGTCTCTTCCGTGCTCATTCTGTCCAGCAAGGTGTCTCACGTAAGTAATAGAACTCAGTCCTGAAATGCTGCAGGAGTAACGGGCAGGGTTGGGTTTGCATGCAACTCCCATCCGAAGCCTTGTAGAAATGAATGGAAAGCAGGGAGCGGCACACACTATGCTCTTATTAGTAGCTTGTACCCTTTTGCAAAGGGACACGGGTGGCATTGTAGGTTAAACCACAGTGCCTAGGATTTGCTGATCAGAAGGTCGGCAGTTCGAATCCCCGCAACAGGGTGAGCTCCCGTTGCTCGGTCCCTGCTCCTGCCAACCTAGCAGTTCAAAAGCACAAAAGTGCAAGTAGATAAATAGATACCACTCCGGCGGGAAGGTAAACGGCGTTTCCATGCGCTGCTCTGGTTCGCCAGAAGCGGCTTAGTCATGCTGGCCACATGACCCGGAAGCTGTATGCCGGCTCCCTCGGCCAGTAAAGCGAAATGAGCGCAGCAACCCCAGAGTCGGTCACGACTGGACCTAATGGTCAGGGGTCCCTTTACCTTTACCCTTTTGCAAAAGGAAGGCTAGGGAGAGATGATCCGACAGAGAAGCAAAGTGGCTGACAGTGACACTCCTATTTGGAACTGGAATCAGGGTCTGTGCCTTTCCCAAGATTTCAAATATCCTCAGACATTTGCAAAAACTTTCATTCCTCCATATCCCACCAACACCCAAGGCCCAGGAGAAACGTATTACAGTACGATCACTCCTTTCAACTGTATTTCAAAGAGATGCCAGCTGAAGTTTCAAATAATAAAAAATGATATTTTAACGCTGCCATTGAAGGGCAGAGTCACACAGCTTTCTGTGCAACCTTTTATTCAGCCTGACCCTGTGGCAGCATCATTGCACTATTTGCTTGCTCAGTGAGCTCATTGGCATGCAGTAAGGTTTACCTTTATACATATTGTTTCAGCATCAAATGGTGCGCAGTTTGGGGGTGTTTTGCAGCATAACTTACCCCCTGCCCAGAGTATATACCGTTGTGCTTTTCACTGGGGGGGGGGACAGCACCAAACACCTGACTTCCTATCGGGGAACTTCTGCCCTTTTAGTGAGGCAGAGGTCATGGGGAGATCAGCACACTGTAGATACAAAGATGGGAGTGCAAGGTTGGCTCTGCACCATACTGACCTCCAGGGGCGCCGACTTATAAAAAATATTGGGGGGGCCCATACCGGGGTCCTGCCCTGGGAAGTTTTCTAAGTTCCAATGTCAGCGCCGCCCGGCAGAGCAGCCCTCTCGGCCACGGCAGCCTGGCTCTCCCAGCCCCCGGGGGCCGCCCTCCTCCCTCGCGCACCCGCAGCGTTCCCGCCCGGGGAGGCGGTGCCCCCAAGGACTCAGGTTCGGTTGTACCTGAGAAGCCGAGCACCTTGGCTCCCAAACAAATCGGCTTCTGAACAATCGAAACCCGGAAGTGAGTGTTCTGGTTTTCAAATGATTTTTGGAGGGCGAACATCCGGTGTGGCTTCCGATTGGCTGCAGGGGGCTCCTCTGGCAGAAGCCGCACTCTGGTTTTCAAATGGTTCCGGGAGTCGAATGGACTCCCGGAACGCATTCTGTTCGAGAACCAAGGTACAGTGGACGCTCAGGTTGCGAACGTGATCCATGTGGGAGGCACGTTCGCAACCCGCAGTGTTCGCAACTCACATTGCTGCGTCTGCGCACACACATGTTGTGATTTAGTGCTTTTGCGCATGCACAAGTGCCGAAACCTGGAAGTAACCCATTCCGGTACTTCTGGGTTTCAGTGCATCCATAACCTGAAAATGCTTAAGCTGAAGCATCTGTAACCCGAGGTATGACTGTATGTACCAGTCCTAAGGAACTGGCCAAGTAAGGCAATCAGCATCTGCAGGTCCCTTGACAGACAGGAGAGAAGCCACACTCTTCGATTTCTGTTGGTAGATGCCTCTTCCTGAGATGCTTGTATTATGCTAATCATAGAATCATAGAGACAGAAGGGACCCCAAGGTCATCTAGTCCAACCCCCTGCAATGCAGGAATCTTAGCTCAAGCATCCCTGACAGATGGCCACCTAGCCTCTCCCAGGGAGCAGAGACCGTCTGAACAGCTCTTATTGTCAGAAAGCTCTTCCTGATGTTGAGCCGGAAAAGTCTTTCAAAGCTGCTGCACACCTTTGTTTGGGGTCCTCCCCTCCTTGCAAATGTCAGTGGGAAGGAGGGCTCTGTTTCAACAGAAAAATAAAGATTCCCCCTTTCTTCCAGCTTCCACTCATTCGTCTCCGACTGATAATGGACTTGGGAGGCTTTGAGCCCCTTGGGGAGCTGAGCTGTAAGGGACAACCTCCAATGTTCATGCATCAGAAGGAGCCCAGGAGCCCCATCGGGGCTTACCCTGTGCAGGCTGGTTCCCCCCCACACACAAACACACACACTGGGTTGCAATTTTGTGGGTCAGCTTTGGCTGGGAGAGGCAGCCCCCGTTAAGTCTCTGCCAGCCCAATAGCACAGCCCCCCCCCCCGCCAAGTCCATGGCAGGAGACAGGCAGCAGCACCCAGACCCCAGAGGCTGCCCTTGGGACTGGCGTTCCCACACTGCCGCCTCCGCAACAAAGGCCAGCGGCCAAGTTCCCCCCCCCAGCCGCTTCCTTGGTCCCACAGGAAAGCCAGGCAGGGGCTGCACATCCTGCCCTCCGCCTCTTCCTGCTGCCCCCAACAGACAACCAGGCCTGCAAGTTTCCTCTTCTGACATCGCCCAGGCCCCCACGCAGCCCCCCACCAGCAAAACGCCCAGGAGTTTGAAGGGACCCGAGGGCCACGCAGCCAAGGGGTCTAACTCTGCAGGGAAAAGCTTCCTGTCTTTCCTCTGCCCCCTCCCCACCGGAAAGGGATGGTGGCTGCAGGCTCTGCCCCCCCCCCTTAACATCTGCAAAATGATTAAGGCTGATACATTGTGTTACAGGATTTTATCTAGGTAACTTCCCTGAGCTGTCAAGTTGAAAGGGTACATTCAGGCATAATATTTGCAACATTTAACAACTTTAAAGATGTCCCCCCCCCCTGTAATTTCCATAACAGTTGGAAGGACAAAAATATAACCTCCTATGACAACTCCTGCAACCCATGAGCTTTCAGACAAAGATCATGCATGGACAAATGTAAAGATCTTTGGAAAGTATTGATCGAAACCACAGTAACAAACGAATCAATGTATCTTCAAGGGAAAGAATAAGTAGATCCATTTGCATATATAGCTCTGTAGGCTTAATGAGATTCCCACAAAACATTAGGAAGGCCTTTCTGGTGGTGAGAGCAGTCAGACAGGGGAAGGGGCTTTTAGGGAGAGGTCGGGGGGGGGGGCATCTGCCAGGGATGCTTTAGCTGTGAGTCCTGAATTGCTGGGGGTTGGACTGGATGACCTTTGGGTCCCTTCCACCTCTATGATTCCATGACCTTTAAGGGAAGTCACCTCCATCTTCGTCTCAGAGCAGATGCCCACAAGCCCTGGGCGGGAAGAGCCCGAGAGAGAGAGCCCCGAGAGAGAGAGAGAGAGAGAGAGAGAGAGAGAGACCGAGAGAGAGAGAGAGAGAGAGAGAGAGCCAGAGAGAGAGAGAGAGAGAGAGAGAGAGCGCAGCCAAGCCCCCTTCACCGCCTGCCCCCCCGCCAGCCCCCTCTCCCCTCCTCCCTAGGCGGCAGCTCCGCCATGACCACAAACGGCGGCGGCAGCAGCAGCCGCGCGCGGCCCGGGCTCCCCTCGCCGGCCGCTGGAGCCAAGGAGTGCGATAATTTGCTTAAATTATGTCAGCGGCGCCCGGCAGAGCAGCCCTCTCGGCCACGGCAGCCCGGCTCTCCCAGCCCCCGGGGGCCGCCCTCCTCCCTCGCGCACCCGCAGCGTTCCCGCCCGGGGAGGCGGCGCCCCCAGGAGAGGCGGCAGCAGCAGCCGCGCGCGGCCCGGGCTCCCCTCGCCGGCCGCGGGAGCCAAGGCGCGCGACGAGGGAGCCAAGGCGCGCAATAATTTTTTTAATTATTGGGGGGGCAGAGCCCCCCCAATAAAATTTTTGAGGGGGCTCGGGCCCCCTCAGGCCCCATGGAGTCGGCGCCTATGCTGACCTCCTCACTTTCTCCCTCCTGGTACACACAGCGATGCCACTGCTGGAGAGGCCAGCAGCATGCTAGCACTCCCTTCCTGCCAGCTGCCGCCAGCTATTCATTTTGTTTGGGTGGCTTTTAAGTATTTGGAGGTTTGTGCAGCTCAGGAATATCTACGTAGTTTAAGGTGCTTGCAAGATACCTCCTTCCAGCCTATGACCTCATTGGTCAGGTATGCACACAGAGAATACTCTGCAAGTGTGTTGTTCCCTGTTCAACCTCAGGGAGTCTAGGGCAGGCCGAGAATATGGCTGGACTACAACTCCCATCATGCCTGAGCTTTGGCCAACAACACCTGGAGGGCCACAATTTCCCCATCCATGTTATAGACCTGGGGTCCCCAACGTTGTGGCCTTGGGCATCCTCATTTCCAAGTACGTATATATGGGACACTGGTTTTTGCTCTCTTTATTGGGAGGGAGTTTATTGTCACACTTGGAAATGGGCTCCCTGACTATGCAGACCACCATTGGTCTCACCATATAAGGCTGTTCTTATGTCCATCCTGTTTAGGGGAATTTCCTGTTTAGAGGTTATTTTTTTGTGCAGGGTACAGAGATGTAAATCATTGCCGATTTACACCCTTAGGCTTTGGACTGGTTCCAGAGTTGCATCATTTGAAAAGCAGGTGAAAACAATGAAATGTCCTTCCCCTTCAGACACACTCTGAATGCGAGAGGCTGCTTGACCCTCCAGAACAAAAGTGTGAAGAAAAAGAAGGTTCTGGCACACACAAGAAGAAAGCTTGTGCTGTCAGGTGTGATCTATGAGGCTGTGCACACTCTTGAAGGCATCCCCGAGCTTTTAACAGGTTGATAAGCCACAGGAAATAAGAAGAGGGTACTAAAATAAATTTTACCTCTGTTAGCATGTCCCCCATAAATACTAATGATTAAGCGTTAAATGAGCTGGGCCAGTTAGGCTTTGCTGCAATCCTCACCCACCTGTTTTTCTCATGAGCATAAATTTTCACTGTATTTTTAAGACTTTAAAAAGGGGCTGATCCATTATCCTCTACAACTTCTGTCATCCCTTATCAATAGATACTGTTAAACAGCACACCAGGAAAAGGAGCAGGGAAAGGGTTGGGTGCCCAATAATAATTAGCAGTGCGATTCATGCAACAAAGAAATGTGTATTGTATAGTAGTACAAAAATGGTCTGTTACCAAATCAGATTGCCTGATTAAGCAGGTAAAAGACTATCGTCCCCATTGAATTGCAGAGAAAATATAGAATATGGGTTGTTTAAGGGCTTTAGCTCAGTGATAGAGCATCTGATTTGCATGCAGAGGGTCCCAGGTTCAGTCCCTCATATCTTCAGGTTGGGTTGGCAATGTTTGCCCTCTGGAACCCTGGAGAGCTGCTGCTAAATGGGCCAATGTTCTGATTCAATATAGAAGGCATCATCCTATACTCCTTCCTATGGAGGTCAGTGTGGTGCAAACACACCAGTAGCAGGAGCACATGATTACTGATGCTTTTCACACTGTGCTGACCTCCTCTCTGCCTCTCCCTTCTCTTGGTAAGTAGCAACAACTGCCCTGCCAGGAAGTTACCCTAGCAGCTCTGCCCTACCTGATGAGCTGCTTCTGGGTACCTGCTGCACCTCACCCAATGGGAACACAAGCAAAATGATCAGGTAGCTGTACTGAGAAGGGTCATACTAACATATCTCCTTAAATGGGAGATAAACTTGAATTGTAATCTCTCACCCAGAAGGGTATCCAAGCTAACAACAATATGCTTCTAATACTTCTGCACTGATATCCTCCAGAAAACCTATAGTTTCACAATATTGCAAGCCTTACTTTCCCACACACCATCAGATAACTTCTAAATCCTCCTCAAGTCTCAGAAGATTGAAGAGGCTGAGAATTTGGGACCTGTGTTATGCCAGAGCCTCTGTGACACTGCTCTTGCACTCCTGGGCAGCTGTACATGCTCCGAACAATGGGTGGCTTGTTCCAGAGAATGGAATAATAGGTGCTGCTTTTAAAAGGGGGGAGGAGAGTTGGGGAGACGTTCAAGCTTTCAATGGCTCTATTGTAAAGCCAGAGATGGAATCTTTCATTGTTTGGTTTCTAAAGATAGCGGAAATGTGCAATTAGTCAACTTTTGGGTCACATGTAAAGGAGATGGGGAAGACAGAAATATATGCCAACAGTTTTTCTTTGTTTCTCCGATGGTAGTGAAAGGCAGAGCTGGATTAAACATCATGCTAAGTGCTGTATCTGGTGGAGTCCCGGTCAAATTTGGGGGGGTGGAGTGGAGGAGGGCCCAGTCTACGGGCCTCAGCTCTTAAGTTTCCCATTGTGAAAAGCATGTCCCTCTAGCTTCTGGCACATGGTTTCTTTACAGTAGCATAGACTGGTGCCTTCTAGATATTGTGGGCTACAACTCCCATCAGCCCCAGCCAGCACTGCCAGTAGCCAGGGATGATGGGAGTTGTAGTCCACAATACATCACTGGAGGGCAGCAGATTGTCTACCCTTGGTGTATCAACTTTATTAGGGCTTTATTCATGATTGTCCACAGGCTGCTCTAGCCCATGTGCTGCAGAGCATGGCGGTCATGGCAAGTACCATTAATTGCCTTATCCTCCATGAATTTCTCCAATCCTCTTTTAAAGCAATCCACATCTAAGTGGTGTCACAGGCTCATTCCCACTCTACTGTTTTAACTATTTAACTATCCTTTTTACCTATTGTCTTCTGTTCATGTTTAGCTTTCTGGGTTTTATTCATGCTTGTCTTCATTTTTGTGAGCCTCCTTGAGTCCTGGTTCTGGAAGAAAGGCAGAAGGGTGGTGGTGGTGATCATGGAACTGTTCTAACCATTCCAGCATTGTGGCACTTTCTTTTAACTATTGACAAGGTATGTTCTTTCATTGATTTCCCCTCTGCCCTGCTCCTTCTCTTCTTCTCCAGACGGGTATGCGTTTTCTCAAGAGGAGCACGGGGTCGTTTCCCAGTCTCAAGTCGTCCGATCCTACGACACGACGAAACAGAGACCTGGCGTCGAATAACGGCGGTCCTTTTGCTCGGCTGGTGGCTGGAGTAATAAGATCGGGATCAATGCGTCCACTGTTAATACATCCTCGACTAAGGTTGGCAACAGCAGCGTAAACACCAGAAAAGAAAACCCTTTTTACTGTGGCCTTAGCCAACGAGTTTGTTATGTACGCTTCTCGCAGACCTTGAGCACACATCGTAGGGCAAATCCCTCATCTGAAGCCGGCTGCCTTGCTCTGCCTCACATTTGTTTACCTTGTTTATGCAGCAATTTGGCTGTGCTCCACGAGGTGTGAAATTGAAAACCATTTTGTTTTTGCCGCGGTTTTAAAAAGAAAGGGAAGCGGAGGGGTGGGGGTTGGGGGGGGAGAAGAAGTAGTAGTTCTGGGGGAAGAAGTAACAGAGGTTGTATGTTCTGTGAGAGATCAGCCAAATTTGGATAGGAGCGCTGGCATTTCCTGTTTTGCCATGCCCAGATCCAAGCGCGCAAAGGGTGCATGTATGAAACCTTTGTAATGTTCACTGTTTATTTGACTGAAAGGCTTGCGGAGAGAGCTGGGAGGCCAGGAAAACAAATGCATCATGGAGAGAGAGAGAGAGTGCGGGAGGGCAGGAATGATGGCCCCAGCAACAAACGTGGCCAGCTCTCTTCAGGAGATACAAGCCAGCATCATATAAAATAGGTCGCAGAGACATTGGCTATGTATGCAGCAGCTTAGTGGGGGGGGGGACACACCACTTACCATAAGGCCTGCAGCACGCCCGAGCCACAAGTCTCTCCTGGGAGTGACATAGTGGCTTGGGCACATGCAGGCACCGTGCTGCCCAAAAGGGTAGCATGGGGCTCACATCCGCCCACCGCTGTGTCCTCATCTGGATGGCAGCTATGGCGGGGAGGCAGCGAGCAGACTCCATGCAGGCCCCAGCCAGAGCACCCTGCCCGGCTCGCCTGTCCCCACAGGTGGCTCACCCCGGGCGCCCGATCGGCTAGCTACATCGCTCTGTGTATGCACACCTACAGAATCCCCCTTGTGCCGCAATATCTATCCATCACCCTGGTCGTCTGCATGGAGGTACGTGGGTGATTTCTGCATGGCGTTCTGCTCAAGAGGCAGCTCGAAACAGCAGTTTAGAATGCAGCCTTTTCTCTGGACACCCAAAGCACCAGCAATTCTAGTTGCTCTGCATATATTTCCTGCGATCCACAGAAATCTTCTCCCATCATATGCAAAGAATGCAAAGGGAACAACCCAGCTTCCAAAGTGTGGGCTAGATACATGCCATACATTTAAAGCACATGACTTGTGCCCCGCCCCCTGCAAAGGATCCTGGGAACTGTTGCTGGTTAAGGGTTCCAGGAATTGTAACCCTGTGTGGGGTAAACTACAGTTCCCAGGGTTCTTTGGGGGAAGCTACATGCTTTAAATGTGCCACAGATGTATGCTGTGTAGGCAGCCGTGGATTTCGGCATTTTGTTCCACTTTGCTCGCGCTCTTCATACTGGCCTTTCTGAGAAGGTCCAAACAGCTGGTGCCTTAACATCCTCTGCTTGTAGAACCAATGAGCACTTCTGGGAGGAGAGGGGAGCAAGAGCCCATTTTGGACGAACCTATGCTCCCTGCAGCAGAATCTTTTCTCCACCAGATTGGTAAAATATTGCAGATCCTTCATTTGTTATTACGTTGAGGTACCTCTTTTCCTCCAAGGAACTGAGGGCAGCATACATGGTTCTGTCCTCACAACAACCCTGTGAATTAGGCTTGTTGTAAAGGGGAAGCCAATGTGGGGAGAAAGGATCTCCCAGAAAGAAAGAAAGAAAGAAAGAAAGAAAGAAAGAAAGAAAGAAAGAAAGGGTAGAGGAAATGTACAAATCAGATACGAATGAACCTGATGCTGACCTAAGTTTCTCATTTTCTGTTCAGCCCTAAGAGAAATGGCTCAAGAAAATCTTGAACAAGAAAATCTCCATCCTGGCATAGCTACTTCAGGGAAATATTTTTCACAAATAGCCAGAGATTATATCTTACAAACAGCATTGGCTTTAAGGTTGCCAGCTTTTTTTCTGGCAGGGCTCCTGTGCTTTAACAGCAGGACCACAGGGAGAAATTCGGCAAAGGAGGTAGTAATTGGGGGGGACGTGCCAGATTTCCCTATGTTGTGCAGCTGTTGAAAGCACAGAAACACACACACCCGCTGCCAGAGTGGGGGGGGGGAACGTTGACATGCCTAGTTAGCATTACAGTTGGCAAAGCACTGGTTCACCGGGCCACCAGAGGCTAGTTCCCACAGCCCTTGCTGCCTGGAGCATGCAGCATTTTGGTTTCCAGGTGTATTTCTGAAATGACAAGAAACACAGAGAACTCTTGCTTTGTTGATGCCCCATCCAGTCTTCTTCTAGAGCAGGAGCAGGGAACCTCTCGCCCTCTGGCTGTTGTTGGGCTGCTGTTCCCATCATCCCTAAATCCATTGGCCATTCTGGCTGGGAGTTTGAGTCCAACAGCATCTGGAGGGCAACAGGTCCTGGAAGAAGCACGAGCCCTTGGATTCACCAAGTGCTGTTCTTCAAACAATCCTTATTCGTTCTTGTAGCCAGACTACGTTTCTGAACAGCATAATGTAAACACTGTTGCTTGTCTTGAGCCACATTTCTCGGTTACCCCATGCGCTGTGCATAGGTCCTTAAAATGCCGGCTTGGGGTTTGTTTTTGCCCTTTCCTTGACCGCCCTCTGGAGCTTAAATATTGATTTAAGTGTATCCGAAAAGCTATCCGCATATGAATATTTATACTCATCAAGCCAAAGCAAAACAGCCTCTTGGCTCCCTCCCTGGCCGAATCATTCGAAAAGATGAATTCCAGTGCTTGAGTGCCACCATCCAGTCCCTTCTTGGTGCCACCTCTGGCCTCCCCTCCCCACACGGAACCCAGAGCTTAATGATCCAGCAGCCTCCTGCATGGTTTTGCTTCAACCATAAATGGAGGGGGGAGGTAGAAATCTCTCCATCCTGCTAGTTTGCATTGCTAATGGGGCAGGGGAGAAGGAGGGAGACAGACACATTTATGCAAAAAGGGAAAGTTGAAAGAAAAAATGCCAATAGTTGTGGATGTCAAGGGGCCAAATGTGAGTGTGAGATTGTGTTTCCATGTGTTTTTGTAAGCGTACGACGAGGAGAAGCAGTGTGACGAAGATTCCAAGGGAAGTGAACAATCTGGTCAAGGTGGAAACAAGCTAACTAGGACTTCCTATTGAACTCATTGGGACTTGCTTCTGAGTAGCGCTTCATAGACTCACGCTTCAGAATCACTCTAGCATTTTCTAATTTACAGAATAGCTTATGGGTCTCTTATTCTCTAATTAGTGCTAAGGGATGATGAGAGTTGTAGTCCAGCAACATCTAGAGAGACACAAGTTTGCCATCCCTGAATCAGGGGCCAGCAAAGATCAAGTGTTGTAAAGCCCCACTAATTTCAGTGCATGCAGAGAATGATTTTGCAGTTGAGATGGACAGGATTTAAATGCAGCTAAGCTTTGGCTGACTCATGCCCTAAGTCAGCATGGAGACTGCAGGCCTGGTAGCACCAGGCAGTGTGGTTGGCCAACGGCCTGGCACCACCTCCTTTCCGCTGCCTCCATCCACATTGCCCATCTGTGGATAAGGAGATGCTTGGAGGATGGAGCATGGGGGGGAGGGGGGGTGCGAGCACCCATCACTCATGAGACGAGGGCATACTGAGGACCCATGCCAAGGTGGGGCCAGTTCCCCATTAGTAAGTTTCACTTTCTACAAGGGAAAGCACAATACCAGATGAGCACCTAAAATCTAAGAGAGCCTCTGCCAACCTGGCGACTTCCAGGTGTTTCGGATTACGACTCCCATCATCTCAGACCATTGGCCATGCTGGCTAGGACTGAAGGGAGCTGTAGGCCCAAACACCAGGTTGCAGAAAGCTGATCTACAACTAATTCCAGATACTCAGCTATTTCCATGCAATATTCTTCAATACAATAGCCCCCTCCCCCTTTCATTAGACTGGATACGATGAGCATTTCTGGCTCATACAGTGAGACAAGGGTGTGAGAGAAAGAGAGATAGCACAGAAAGAAATTATTTTACTCAAACTGGAGGCAGAGGATAGCTGAAGGCAGTGAAACAAGGATCTCTGCTTGTCTCTGGTATGTAGGACATGCAGGGCTTTCTATTTTGTTTCTGCAATAACAACGCTGATTCCGATTATAAGGATACTTAGCTTTTGAATGGTGCTGTTGATTTTTCAGAGTATTCACATGACGTATCTTGTCACAAGAACCCTGCGAGGTCAGGGGTGAAGCACACGTGTTGCATGCAGAATGTCCCAGCTCCAGTCTATGACACCCCCAGGTAGGACAGGGAAAGGCTCCTGCCTAACATCCTCAAGCGCCACTGCCAGTCAGTGTAGTGCAAGGTGGACAAATGGTCTGGCTCAGTACAAGAAAATTACCTATGTTCATTAGAGAAGGTCAGTATTATTACCATCCCAGCCAGGTGGGTGGGGAATAAATAATAAATTTTATTTATTTATCATCATCATCATCCCCCATATTGCAGCTGAGGCTGAGATGCAGCATCCTACCTTGTGTGTTTGTGGCAGATGTGAGATTCAAACCAGGGAACTCCTGATTTGTAGCCCAATGGCTTGCTTCTCTGCTACGCATGGAAAACCTGTTTGACCAGTGGAACCAAAGAAATGTATACTGTATTTTCCGTCTCTAAGATGCCCCCATGTATAAGACGCCCCCTGTTTTGGGGGACTCAGATTTAAGAAAATGGGAGGGGGAGATGGCCCAGGGTATAAGACGCCCCCTAATCTTTGACATCATTTTTTAAGGAAAGGAACCTAGTCTTATACACAGAAAAATACGGTAAGTGTATGGGCAATCGGAAGCAATGTGGCCCCTCTCTCAAACCCTTTCCAACTCTCTTAAAAAGTACTTTCTCCATCCTGCCCCAGATATTCGCTTAATCAGGCAAAGTGAGCAGGGTTGGGAAGGAGGGGCTGTCTATTGACAAGATTTATTTTCCTACCAGAGGCGATGGGGTGCTGTCATTCTGACCTGTCTCTGAACTGAGGTCAGCCAGTGTCACATTCAAGCTCTCTGCAGAGTAACTAGTGAGATACTTGTGTTAGGTGCATGCTCAACTGAAATTACACTCAGTTCTTGTCATGCGGCTATATAGTATGTGACATTAGGCCCAGCAGGTCAAACCTTTGTCAGCATGGGAGGAGACCTTAATCTGGATCTGGGTTAATCCTGCAAAACCCGCCCAGGTCATGACCTGGCATTCTTCACGTCCCCTGAAATCATTCCAAACACAAACCTATCCTATCATCGCCTTCCTTGACTTCTCGTCTTAGTGAACAAGCCAATTGTGAACGAGAGAGCGCATCCTGGCCACATTATCGGCCAAAGGGAAATCAACCCCTTGTACAAACATATTCCGCATTCATTGGCCGAGAGTCACCTTTGAAAATGTTGCAGAAAATTGTTATCAGCTCAACAGGGTAGCGAAGCTGAATAAGATAAAGCTTTCTGCTTGGCAGTCTAGATTAAGGATTCCATGCTGATAATTTTTTAAAAAATAAAAATGTTGAGAAGAAAGGAAAGGTCTCCTTAGCAGCTCTCTGCATTGACCAACCTGCCAGCTTTACTTGAACAGTCAGGGGAGAAGCCAAATGCCTGCCTTCCCTTGTTAAAAAACAGATACGGCTTGTTCCTTTGGACAAATATATGATGCTGTGCCAGGGCCAGCATGCAAGAGATGCCATTCCTTTAACAAGTGTCTTGTCACAAATTAAAAAACATGGAGCAGCGTTTTGAGTCAAGCTCTGCTGAGAAATCCATTGACGTTTTCTGTTTCTTGACAGGGCTCCTGGTCTTGCTGTAGGGAGCTACCAAGGGAAGTCAGTAATAACTTGTCAAGAAGAAACAGTGAATTGCTAATAAAACTATTGGAGTCAAGGCCGGTTGCTAGAGGAATCTTTTTTTTAATATGCCAGCAGAGCAAATGTGAAGTATATGGACTGTAAATTAAGATAACAGTCTAGCCTTGCTAATCTGCACTTTGCAGACCACACACTTTTTAAGGCACAAAAAAGAAAATCTATACTTTCTCTCTAGTTCACAGCCAACTGTTTTAAACAGCAGATGCTGGAGCAAAGTCTCCAGTTACTGTGGTTACATTATTTTTAGAACAAGCAGGGCTGTGTTTACCAGCGGATGATTGGTTGTTATCCTAAATAATTAAAACCAAAGTAAGTTTGACAAAATAGTGCGGTTCGCCTTGCATTATTTGTGGTTCTTTGCTTCCAGCAACAGAATCCCCTGAGCACAAAGCTGGCAGAGAGTTGTTGGGATGCCCCACACAGAACTGAGATTTGCTCTGCGGTTCTTACACTGGGAAGTAGACAGATCACTTCAAGGAAGCGCAGACATAGCAGAAGCAGGAAAGAGCACAGGCAGAGTGGGAAGAGAAAGGTGGAAACTGGAGGAGGGCAGTCCAAGAAAGACAAAACATAATAAAGTCCTATAAAGACAGAGAAACATATTGGGAGAAAAACTGTCAGAGGAGGATTTCTGAAAGTATGCTACGTGTGGCTTGAAATTGCCACCAGGATCTGCAAATATTAGTTATCCTATTTACAGCCCTGTCACTTTGCACCACATAGAGTGTGATTTGCTTGAGTGTATTTACATAGGAAAGCAGGGCAAACATCTAAAGCATGGCCCACAATTTAGAACTCAAAATGTGATGGATCGGGGTTCCCAAACTGCAGTCCACCAGCTTCATCCACGTAGACTGTGGCACGTGCATGTTAAATATGCATATCGATTTTGAATAGTATTTGTATTGCTTCTTGTATTTTACAGAAGCACATGGAATGCACATTGCAGAACATTAAAATACAACATAAGAAATAAAAGAAGCAACAAAAATTCAATTAAAAACCATACAGAATCTAGCACAGTGCATTGTGATGGCTACAGCCGGGGGGGGGGCATTAGCAATTTTCAAGTGGTCCATGGCGGGGGGGGGCAGGTTTGGGAACCACCCTAACAGATGAACAGCAGCATCTATAGTGCAATCCTACCCATGTCTACTCAGAAGTAAGACCCACCGATTTCAGTGCTGCTTATCCTCCCTTGTAAGAGGGTAAAGGATTGGAGCCTCAGGCAACACTACCATGTCGGTGGTTGGCTAAGCCACCTCTCCCTGAACACCCAGACTTCTCATCAACATCACTTCTTTTTGGTCTGGATTTAGGTTCAGCCTGTTCATTGTTGCTCATCTCCCTAACCACTGGCCCCAAACATTCACTAGAACGTATCTGCATGATTCCATCCCTCTTTTCGTTCCACTTTAATGACATTTACACATGGCCTCTCTAGCATGAGCAAGAGTGGGTATTTTGAGAGTGAGGGGGGTGACACATGTGAAAATGGTCCCAGTTACGTTTGAGGAGGCATGAACAGGAGAGAAAGAGAAACCTAAAATCCACTGTTCTTATGTAGTCTTTCACAAACTGTAATACTTTGTAATGTTTCTGTGTAAAGGAGCAAGAGCATAACTGTATAATTTCCATACATACCTGGCTTTACTGCACTTATCATTCATGTAAATAAAAAGCCTTACCTTTATTTTAAAAAAAAAAAGTACTCTGAGGAACTATTGTCTTCTCTTTCAGCTTAAGGCTCATGTATCTGAACTTGAAACTTACATTTAGCTTATGGTGGAAGATACTTGCTCCTGAATGCCTGCAGACTGTTCCACATTCTTTCCTCTTCTAAATGCATCAGGGCTTTTTTTTTTTTTAAAAAGTACTGTATGTGTACTTTAGTGCTGGGCCAAAATTTCTCAGAACTCTCTGAGGATTTTCTTTCTCAGACTTCCCTCAAACTGTTGGAGTCAGTCAGCAAAATGTTTATGTTAAAAAAAAAACAACCCACAAAAACTACAATCAAATTGAGAGATGATCCCCAGCACACTGGACCCCATTTTGTGTGATAAGTTGTGATTGGAACAATTGAAGAATTTCAGTCCCGTCTCAGAGAATACCTGGCAAAAATTTCCCTGCAACTCCTCCACCTAGCAAGGTAGAGAATTTCAGGCACAGCTGTGTTTCTAAGCTAATGTATTTTCATAATGTTGAAAGAAGCCATGGATCTGGCCCCTGCTCCCTGAAACCACATTGCTTCCTTCATCCGCCTATATGAATTAAAAGTAAAATTTATCAGTATTAACTGTGCCAAAAAATTCTCAATAGAGCCTGAGAACTTTTCTCAAAATGTCCATACACCGCTTATGAGACGATTGTAATTAAGTAGCATATAAATTGTCAAAATAAATATGACAGGTTCCTCCCTGTGCTTTCAAGTTAGACTTGAAATATGCATTCTATTGTAGTCAATAGAAAGGAACAAATGATGTTTGCTAAGCCTCTCTGACTGACCCTTGGGAGTTTCCGTAGCCCCTCCCCCCTCCCCAAGCCAAGCCCCTCCCTAGACCTGCCCTAGTCTTATTTGGCTGGAATGTGTCTTGCTGGCTTAGATGGAGTGTGTGTAAAGAAACCTTGCTTTTCTCATGGCTCAAATAAAGCCTAATGTACGATGTAAGAGTCGCATCTATTGCTCTGCCCAATTTTGCCTCTGGCACCACCCATCACTGCAGGAATTCCCCACAAGGCTCGGGGAGGGGGAGAAGTGCCCTACCCTGATCTAAAGGACTTTGCCAAGTTGCATTATTTCATATTAATTCAAATGGCATGGATTACTTTCCTTCAGGAAGATGCAAAGGAGTTCTACCCCATTAAAACCCCATAGTGCATTGTCTCAATATGCTACAATGCCGCTGCTGCCCCACTATTTGATGCAACAATTCGCTCCTTGATCAGACACGGACTACGCTGTGTCCTGGTGAGCGCTGCTACTGAACTGGGATGGCCAGAGAACTGGATGAAGAGTGGAAAAGACAGAGACAGAAAGACAGACAGAGAGAGAGTTAACAGTAGGAGCCAGTTGTTTTGTGTCTTGACTACCTTACTGGGTGGTTTCGCTGAGAAGATCTTCCAGATGTAATTTTGGCATTAATGAATCTATTCAGAGGCGGGAAAACATCTGCTGGGCTGCTTAGGAAACACAATGAAACAGCTGTTGTGTCCACGGTCTTTGCTTTCCACTCTGGTCTTCTTCCTTCAGGAAATAGATGGAGGCTATTTGAGTTCAGACGCCATTAAAATTTCTCCTTGCCTCACTTCTAGAAACAGGATTCCAGCTCAAATTAAACAATTCGGCCTCTTGAGATTTATACAGGGTGGGTGGTGGGAATCAGAGTGGCCTCCCTTCAAGTTCAAAAGTGCATCCCATTACACCAACACCCTCAATGTAGCCCACATTATGCAGGGGTCAAATATCAGCCATCTTGAGGAAATATATATATTTTAAAAAAATTGTCCAGTAGCACCTTAGAGACCAACTAAGTTTGTTCTTGGTATGAGCTTTCGTGTGCATGCACACAAAAGCTCATACCAAGAACAAACTTAGTTGGTCTCTAAGGTGCTACTGGACAATTTTTTAATATATATTTCTAGTGCGTCAGACCAACACAGCTACCTGCCTGAATCTTGAGTGGAAGGGTTCTTCTGTATCTTTATATATATATATATAATTATTGGAGAAAGGAGGTCTGAGCCTCCTTGTCTGATAATATGAAAACGCTTAACAGTGTATTCCCATCATTGTCTACTCAGAAGTCCCATTGAGTTCAACAGGGATTATTGCCAGGTAAGTGGCCATGGGACTGCAGTCTAAATGTTTTTTTCAGGTTTAATTCTGGCTCCAAAGAGAATGCCGCAGGAGAAATATCTCTGATCTAAGGAGAACGTTTAAGTGGCTCCCAGAAACTGGGAGAAACTTCTTGGCGGTTGAGTGGGACTGCTCCTCAATTCCTCAGGTGTTGTCGTTTTTCCCTTCAGTGAATGCCCTCTGGTAGTTTAAGTACAGCACTATATTACAGTTGGGGTTGTTTCCCTCCCAGAGGGACCAAAGAAAGATCATTTGTACTTCTACTTTGTGGCAGTTTGGCAGGGAGGGGAATTAGCAAATCTGTAGCTTTGAACAAGCTGTTGTGTGTATGCGCAAAAAAATATTTCCAATAAATAACTTTTATTAAAAGAGTCAAGAAGGGTTTTGCTTATTTTGGATTTTTCATTTGTTTTCTCCCCCATCCATCCAAACTCCAGGCTAATATGAAATTTGACATCAAATGCACTCAAGGGGTGTGTCTATAAATTGGGCTGTTATTATTAAATACAGTGGTACCTCGGGTTACATACGCTTCAGGTTACATACACTTCAAGTTACAGACTCCGCTAACCCAGAAATAGTACCTCGGGTTAAGAACTTTGCTTCAGGATGAGAACAGAAATCGTGCTCCCGCGGCGTGGTAGCAACAGCTAAAGTGGTGTTTCAGGTTAAGAACAGTTTCAGGTTAAGAACGGACCTCTGGAACGAATTAAGTACTTAACCCGAGGTACCACTGTACTCTAGTCATTACCTTCGTCACAGAGGAAGACAAGAAGGTCTCAGGTACCACCAGCTGAGACCAGGTTCCGGATACTGAACCCAAGGCTGGCAGTCAGGAGCCTGGAGAACCCAAGTGAGGACTCTTGCTGATGACTTCTCCCAATCTTGAGTGGCCTGAGGAATAAGGAACTTCCCTCTTCATTATATGTGCCTGGGAAGCCACCCAAAGGAGGAAATGTGCTCACCTTCAGACCGAGGAATTGGCCCTTTAAGGAGTCACAGGGTTGAAATTTGAGGGCTTGATTAGGGGTCCCTCTTTGAGCAAGTGTCTCCCTTGGAACTCTCCATGGTGCTGTAATCGCTGTCCTACTTCAAGGGTACCTGTCATGGACAGATCAAAACAAAGGTGTGTGTGGAGCAGTACCTACCCTCTAGGCCAAAATCTTCTATGGGTATTGTTTTCTGGCTCTTAAAAATCCTACACTAATTCACCAGCCAGGGTCGCACACCTCATGCTGTGCTGCTTCACCATCTGCCTCTTACACATCTATACTGCTCCTTTTCACCACCTAGAACACACACACACAAACATACTTCCTACAAATGCCCAGTTCTTCTCTTCTTCAGCTCCACCCTGAGATAACTGAGCCCACTGCAATCAGGGACTCCATCCCTTTCAGAAATCTCACTGCAGCTTTTACCAATATGTTAAGAAACCCTGTGATTTTGCTGTTTATAGACCTATTACCAAAAATACAGGCAACACTGGCACTTTACTACCTCTGCTGGTGGCCAGTGTGTCCTAGCTCATAACTTTTTGGTGGGCAGGGGAGCCAAAGATACATATAAGATACATATAGGTACAGGTGAATCTGTTGGGAGGGCAGAGCTTGGAGATTCCACTCTTTGCACGCAGAAGGTCCCAGGTGTAATCACAGCATCTCCAGGGAGGGCTAGCAGAGAACCCTGCCTGAAATGCTGGACAACCAAGCTTTGATTGATTGATTGATTGCATTTGTATCCCACCTTTTTCTCCAAGGAACTCAAGACATCGCACATGGTTCTCACCTCCTTGTTTAATCCCCACAACAACTGTGTGCTGTAGGCTAGGCTGAGAGGTGTTGGGAGTGGCACAAGGTAAACCAGTGAGCTTAACGGCCGAGTAGGCTTTGAACCCGGTCTTCTGTGTCCTAGTCCAATGCTCCAACCACAACACTGCACTGACTCTCTAGGTGGACCAATGGTCTGACTTGGTATAAAGCATGTTCCTGTGTCCCTGGGTGGAAATTAATGGACACAAAAAACATTCAGTCCTGGGCCTAAAAGTCCTGTTGGCAGCAGGGAGGCAGCGTGTCCCGTTTCACCTCCCGAGGCAAAATAGTAAGGAGCCACTCCAGTGGCATAGCGTGGGTTGCCAGTGCCTGGGGCCACGCAGAAGGCCGTGGGTGGGACAGGGAAAAACGGACGGAATACACATGCACATTCAATTGCCTCATGGCATCCGCATCACCCAGATCACAGCCGCAGAGATAAGAGTTGTTCTGTTGTCTGGAGAGGTCACTTCCTGGTTGAGAAGCCTAGCAGCTGTTTTGAGATAGCACCATATGTTGAAATATTGCACCCCTCACAATTTTACACCCAGGGCAACTGCTACACCCTCCCCACGCTACACCACTGTGCTGCCCCACCCTACTGTTGCTGTGGCTGTGCCACCACCAAGGCCTCCCACACCTGGGCTGCACAGCATTGTGTGTGCATTGGCTGTGACAATGGCAAGTTCCACCAAGGTGTCTCAAGATTTCAGCAGGATCTCACTGAAAACCACCACCACTGCCGGCTCTGCTTCTCCACTGCGGGGCACCTGTGTTGTGCCTCAGCCCTGGGAGGTGGCTGACCCTGGGCTCAAGAAACTTTTCCTACATCCTCGTTTTGCAAGACCTGAAAAAGTTTTGGTTAGACTGAGGTCCCACCTCCCTGCCTTTACCCCCATGCGCTCTTCCCTCCACGTCTGCTGAACTTCAGTCAAACAGACTGTTTAAATAATAAAGTGGAACCCTTGGCTTGTCCCCGATGTCGAGCTTCTCCCCTCCGCTTTCCAAAATAGCCTCTTGTGCATAAATTACACTTTTCCATTGTTTTGATTAAAAATTCTTTTTGCAGCGCACGCTGCACGGGGCGCTACCGGCTGGCAACCTGCGATCTGGAGGAGCTGCTGGAGTCAGAAGTTGGCTGGGTGGGTCTGGGTTGCTGCCGCTGTCAGGAGAATGAGAGCAGTTCATTAGTCTTGAA